CGCGGCGCGGCCCATGCGCCGGGCGCCATGGACAAGATCCTGGAGGGGCTGGTGAGCTCGTCGCACCCGCTGCCACTGAAGCGGGTGATCGTGCGGCGGGTGGTGGAGTCGGCCGAGACGCCGCTGAGCCAGGCGCAGTGCCACGCCATGTTCACGCTCAGCACGCGCCTCGTGCTGCAGGGCCCCGACGCCTTCCAGCGGCAGGTGGGGCGGCAGGTGCTCGAGGCCTACGGGCGCCACCACCGCGCCGAGTTCGAGGCCTTCTTCGACCGCGCGCTCGTGCTAAGCCTGCTGCAGCACGGCTATGGGCAGCTCAGTGCACGGGACCCCGCCATTCTTGACTACATCCAGGCMGGGCTGCGTCTCATCATGAGCTGCCCCTCGGTGCTGGAACTCTTCGAGGTGCTGCAGGTGGAGGCGCTGCGGCTGGTGTGCGAGCGGCCGGCGCCGCCGCTCTGCGCCCGCCTCTGCCAGCTGCTGAGTGACTTCCCTCAGTGCCTGCCCCACGGCAGGAAGCTCTCGCTYGCCTTCTGCCAGCAGCTTGTGCGCAGCATGGCCCACTTCCAGAGCCAGGGCAGCCGCGAGGCAGAGCTGCGCCTCTACGTCTCGCAGGTGACCCAGGTGAGCGCGCTGCTGCGCAGTGTCTGGAAGGCCAAGCCTGATACGCTGCTGCCCTCCCTGCAGGAGCTCTTCGCTGTCATCTCTTCTGCAGGTGAGCTTGGGATGGGACCAGAGCGGGTGGGGGGCTGGGTGGTGGTCACAGAAACAGGCCTTGCCACGGGCTGCAGGTCAGCGGGAACTTGGCTTCACGCCATCTAAGGCCTTTGCTCTCCCTGGTCGTGTGCCGCCGCTTGCTGACAGTCGAGTAAGCAAAGCAGTGGGTTATTCTGGAGTAAAAAGGCAGTGGGGGTGCAGTGGCTTATTTAGGATTTGCTGCGTGTTTCTGGGAGGTCTTCATGTTGTAACCCTATCAGTGGTATTTTGGAGCAGTGTTCAGGAGGCTCGCTAAGAAAGGGAAAGCTCCGTGTCAATGTTCTTCTCTTCTCGCTCCCCTCAGAAGTATAGCTTAGGCCTCAGCAGAACCTGGTCTGTGAAGCTGGGTGTATGTGTAGCACTATGTAAGACTCATATATTGTAGGAACAATTGAGCTCCTCAGTTGTTTACATGAGATGATGAACTGATCCTTTCGGACCTTACGGATCCATGAGTTACTGTAGTCGTTCTCAGTCGAAAACTGGCTTTGCAGTTGAAAGACCTAGGAAACTTAAGATACGGCAAATACCAGCAAATACTGGCTCCAGTAGATCTCTGTTCTTTTAACAGTAAACTACAGCAAACAGCTGTGTAAAAGTTTTTTTTTTTTTTTTTTACTTATCCTTAGAATAAAAAGTGCTTCTCAGTCCTTTTGGAGGTTGAGGAAGTTTGTAGACTGTCATTTCCTCACATGAGTATTAGACCAATAAAAAGAGCTTATAATTCAGTGGTCCTGGTGCTTAATCCATTTAAACCTTTTTGTTTTATGCTGATAGATACAGAGAGACTGTTATCTGTGCAATAAACCTGTTGTTTCAAAACATCATAGTGAAGCCCTAGGATGGGAAGCAATGTAACTGTTCCTGGGGCACTTTCTTTTTGTTTCTTAAAGCATGTTGTTATTACAGATACTTCATTTGAACCTTCCGTTGCACTGGCAAGTCTTGTACAGCATATACCATTACAGATGATTACAGTACTCATCAGGAGCCTTACTACCGATCCAAATGTGAAAGATGCAAGTATGACTCAAGCTCTGTGCAGGTATTATTTTTGGAAAGTTTTTTTAATTAAATAATGGTGTTTGACCTGTTAGGTTAACATTGATTTCTGATGCCACAACTATTATTGACTAGGCTTCAAGTTAAGTTTACTACCTCACTGTTGATGTAGCCTCTCTCTGATGCTTTGCTAGGCCAGAATGAAGGGGATTTGACAGAAATGTAGTGAAAACCGATTCTGTTTAGATGCTATCCTAGGTTTAGGGTAGATCCTACTTTGTGGGAGATACCTGAAACTTTACTGCACTTATGATTATGCTAGGACCCAAAGCTGCCTTCAGAAAATCATATTCTTTGAAGGGATAAGACAGTTAGAAATGAGATTTAGTGGTTTCTGCTTAGAGATTTTTGACTTTTCAAGAGGATTTGCAGGGGACCACTTCTTTTTCTATCTTCATTTAAGCCTCCTCAAATTTGTTGGATGTTTTTGGACTGGTAGAGAGTAATAATACAAAAACAGTTGCGTGTCATGCTTCCTGTCACTAAATCTAAAAATTAGTAAGCATTAAGATTAGAATTGTTAGTATCTTCAGAAATGTATACAATGCCAGAAAAGTGGCATAATAGTGGTAGTGGTATAAAATTGGTATAATAGGAGCTGCTATTTGCAAGTAAAAACTGCTTCTTAAAATTAGCTGTGTAGTGTTTTTYCCCCTGTACTTTTGGCAAGAGCTGAGCCATCTTACATGCCGTACGTCATTCAGCCTTTGAAGTGATATGTGATTTCAAGAGCTTGTATTTGTTTTGTGGAACTAACTTTTTAGTTCCCCCCTGTTATTTTTGGTTGTAGATACTCTCTTGTCAACACTGCATTCAGCTTCTTTTCTGCTCTTTCTACCTCTGGCTACCTTTGCAATAACTGCTCATTCTATTCTGGCTTTATTCTCATTAAGATGACAACACCACTGGAATATCCGGATTGCCAAACAACAATGTTGTCATCAGGTTTGCATCATCCCCACGAGATGCAGAGTTCCAGGTATCACAAGGCCCCTCATTAAGAGTCATCAGAGCTTTGGAAACTGCAAGTTAGAGGCCTAGTTACCCAGTTCCTAAGGATAACTTTCATGACATTGTAGAGCCAGTCTAAAATTGGATACAGATGAGGAAATCGCTGTTWAATAAATAGAATCTGTTCAGTAGGGGTTTTATTACAAGATTGATGTGAGAAGGGTACTTGGCATCAGTGAGGTATTGCTGGGTGGCTCAGCCGTCTTATGAAATCTTACCTGAAGCATCAGCGAAGAAAAGCAGAAAACCGTTGACTTCCCTGAATCTTACCACTACTTTGAGGGTTAACTTTAGACATCTTGGAGGAAGAGGTTTATCTACCTCTTTGTATTGTGGCTGGTATAGTTATGCTTCTTTGCATTTTGATCCAAGTTTTTTTTTTTCAGTAAGGGAAATGGAAAAGTTGGCTAAGAGCAACTGCAAACTTTGACCAGGCCTTTTCCCCTGTGGACAAAGATTTCAAGTCTTGTAGATGTTACTTGTTACTTGTTTTGTACCTGGGGGATAGGAGAGATAACGGTGCTTTTTTTTTTTTTTTTTTTTTTTTTTTTTAAATCTGAGATTTGTGCCTGAGCTGTTAGGATTGTTGTCTCACATGACTGAGAAATTCTGCAAAAGAAGTTGTTGTCCAAGGAAGCACAGATAGAATTTTTTTCTATACTGAGGTATTAGGAATATTAGGCACACAAGGTTAGGCAAACAACAGATCTGTTCATCCTGGGGTGAAATGAAGTTGCAGGTCCTCAAGCTCTTCAAGGTTGTCTGAATCTAGTGTTTGTTTTAACATGGGGCATAGTGATGATGTATGATCAGTGCCTTACCAAAAATGTGCCCGTTGATGACAGCAGACTATGAGCTGAATAAATAAGTTGAAATGCAGAAAGTATCTACTAACTGAAATGGATCCCAGTCTTTATCTGCCTGTTCTCAGATTTTAGGCTTCTTAGGACAGTCTTCAGCATGCCTGCAGATTGACTTCTCTTTCCTCCACTGGCTTTTGTTTCTGCTTTTAAGAGTAGAAATGGATTCAAGTGTGAGAATTATATATGGCTATCAGTGGTATAGAGAAGGAAATGGAAGCTTCTCTTTATCATGTTAAACATACTAAAATTATGGATGTTATCGTATWAGGGATAGTGGTGAGTAGTTTGATAGATAACTAAGCTGAAAAGAGATGACACTGAATAACATATTATGTGAGAAAGACAGTGGGATCCAAGAGTAAACCAGAAGGAGCCCTACTGTTTTTGATTTTTTTTTCTTSTTTTAAGAAAGCTTATTGAAAGGATACTTGGAATAAACATTTGATTTTAATATTTTGAGGAAATGGGAGTTTGTGTAAGTTCAGAGCAGGGATTACTATGTTGGCATGTTTCCTTCCAATTTCTCTCTGAAACTGATCTTTTCTGGCTGTGTAGATGATTGAAACCATCTTAAATTAAGTATCAGGAGTTTTGAGGCCTTATACAATTTGATATTGATTTTCATGTTGCTAGTTTATTATATGTGTTAGTTTATTACAGCTTGGTCTTCCAAGGAAAGAAGGAAGAAAAGCACTTTGTACTCCTTCACAATGTAGTACTGATGATACACAATTCCTCTTGTCAGAAAGAAACCATGAAGTTGCACGGCGATGTTGGTTTTCTCCTACAATTGCAAACTGAAGAGCTGTCCACTTAAAGCATTTTGATTCTATTTCTACTGATTCCTCTCTGCTTGTGATAGCTGAAAACATAGTACTATTCATAAAGGCTGCATGTGTACAGTGTGTGGCAATCTGTGTTCATACAGCATCCATGTTTGTCAGGGCACTTCACATTGTACGGTAGAAACCTGTTAACTGAGTGTACTAATATAAATAGTGACCATTTTATTAGACAATTACTTAGGACCTCCTTATCTACGTGCTATCACTTAGCCTGGTTATGAGCATTTTATGGAAGTAAGGGAATATGCTTCCAACTCCCCSTTTTCATTGAATCACGACAGAGCATAGGCTGAAAGAGGCTGCTGGGTTTGAAGTGGTGCCATTGTTGGAGTCAGACAAAGTGCTCAGGGTGTCCTGTCAAGTTTTTAAGATGCYGCAGCTTTACTAATAAACTGTTTCAATGTCTGACCACTTTTGTGATGAGAGGAAAATAAAAAAGTCTTCCCCCTTCGTATATGATGTTTCACCTGGCTTGAAGGAGGGGACTTTTAGGACAASTAAAGAAAATCCTAGTTATTGCTTAGTGAAATTGCCAAGTAAAATTATTAGGAAAAAATCAAGAAGCCTAAGTTCTTGTTTCAACTGGCGCTGCATTATGATATGATATATTTCTTAGATTTGCCTTACCTGACCTCTCTGTCTGCCTTATTTATCAATTTCATGCAAAAAAAATGCGTATTTGCTAATTCAGCATAGAAGGACTTTCTTTGCAATCCTTTTTCTTCTGTTGTGCATCTCTCTTTCTCAGAACTACCCTTTGTTTTGTCTTGAGTAGTAAAGTTTTACTAGAAAACAGAAATGTGTTAAGATCTGTAAAAACTGTTTTACAGTTCTTGGATGGTAAGAATAACCTGATGTTTAATTATGTATGCTTACATCATTTTTTTCTATCTATTTTCAATGTATTAAATATATAGTTATTAATTATGTAGCCAAGTGAATGAGAGAATCAGAATTACCTTATTGCTTTTCTAACATTCTTGTATTACTACTTGCGAATGTCTGTGTAAGTAGTTTAACTATTTGGTTAGTATAGGATGTACGTATAGGATACATCATTTATCTTGATCTCAACAAAAAAGTTATTTTATATATATTKTTTCCTTATCGTTAATCTTTCAGAATGATTGACTGGTTGTCTTGGCCTCTGGCTCAGCATGTGGAAACATGGGTGATTGCACTGCTGAAAGGACTAGCTGCAGTCCAGAAATTTACCATCCTCATTGATGTCACCCTGCTTAAGATAGAATTGGTATGTCCTGAAAGAATATTTGAGGTGGGAAGAGGGATTTGCAACAATTATGCAATTGCATGGACTGTTTTGTATTACAATGTATTTGTCTTAATATCCAGCATAGGAGAGTCAAGTCTCATATAGCTTTCAATTTTATGTAATGGTTCTGTCCATTTCAAATGAATCTAGATTTAGAATCTGTTTACATTCTTATTGGAATTTCACTTTCTAGACTTACAGTGTGTTTTTTATTTTTGTTTGTTTGGTTTTGTTTTTAAGGTCTTTAATCGACTTTGGTTTCCTCTAGTGAGACCTGGTGCCCTTGCTGTCCTTTCCCACATGTTACTTAGTTTCCAGCATTCTCCAGAGGCTTTTCATTTGGTAAGTTACTAATAAATCGTTTTCAGTTCTTTGAGGCATAATTCATATGTGATTTCTAAAGTAGATGTAAAGAAATAAAATAGATGCACTTAGATATTGCGTTTGTTTCAAGGTTCCAGAATCAGTTTTCTGTCATTGACGCGATTAGATTTTTCTCACTTTCAGTAATTGAACCTGTAACTTGAAGAACTTTGGTTTTCTTGGTATGTCCGTACTTGTAGCAGTAGTACCTGGGGACCATAGTTTTCAACCACATACCTCTGGAAAGCTGTTTTAGGTGGTGTGAAGTCTTACAGGTAAATTTGGGCTGTAGTTAGAATTTCAAGCAAAACTAGTTAAGGAAAACCTAGAGATTATGTGTTAACCATCTCTCCTGGGTAGATGCATGAGGCAAAGGATTACTTCATTTTAAGAATACGTTAGCTACCCTTTCTGTGTTTTGATGTACAAAGTGGCAAACTGAAGGGTACTGTTTTTTATGGCCTCTCCATCAAGTGCAGTTCTAGATGCTGCATACTTCAAGATTCACAATGCAGTTAGCAGATACCAGCRTATGATGGTGATAGTGGAAAACTAGTAGAGCAAGATGTATATAACGCTTTCCCTTTTCTCAAACTCAACGTCTAGCTTTAAGTTGCCTTTAGGTGGAATACAGGTCTTTAACAGCTGTAATAACAACTTGGTATGCTGTTTCTCTAAGTTATCTCAAAGAATTTCAGGAATCTCAAATCATTTGCTTTGATTAATGTCAGAATAGTTGCCTTGWATCTGATTTCAGTTTCTTCAATCTTGGCCTGGCATAGAAAACTGAATGACAAAGGAAATAGCCAAGTAGCCTTGAATATGCTCAAAATRTAAATATTTTATATATTTACTGTCTTGCTTTTTTTCCCCTATCCCTGAAAGAGACAAAACATTCATGTGAAAAATCTCAAGTATGAGACCAASAGAGTATTTATTCCAGGGAGAGACATTTGCTTTCGTAAGGAAAAAATCTRTGATAAGCTAGATGCAGTGTTGCCCAAATATCTGTATTGGGAGCTTCACCACATCAACATGGCTGTGTTCCCTCTGTTTTAAATGAACTACTTCACTGTCTGCTTGGGGAACTACTGCTTTTATTTAGTTTCCTACCTCATATCTTCGTGTGCTAAAGCTACTTCTGTATGTTATAATAAATAGCCTAAATATAAAACCGATAAATAGATATTAGGTAATGTAACTAAATTTATTTTGCAATTTATCTGAGTCATCTTCATTCCTTATGCTTGAGTACCTTTATATGAGCGTCTCTATTACAAAAGACATTCTGCCTTGTGCTTATGATGTATAAGTACTGCAGTGTGATATGCTAGAGTCCTGTGAAATTCTAAATTCTTTTGAAGTTCAGAATTTTGGTTTGACCTCAACCAAAAGCAGTATTTCAGGATATAAACAAAGTGTAACTTTCTCTTTTATGTGGTACGCTGTAAGTAAGAATTTCATTCTTAATTTGAGAGAACTCACAACTTGAACTTTTTTTACTCTTCCTCTCTGCTGTTTGTGTGCAAAATTATCATGTTTTACATCTACTTTATACAGTTTTAATTCCTGGAGCTCAGTAGGTCTGGTGAAAATGAAGTTGCATTGTACTTCTGTAGAATGAGAAGAGAGAAATTTAAATCAGTTTTCACTCTTGGCTTTGTTCTTTTGGTTAACGTAATCTCTGTTGTTTAAAAATTAAAGTTTCTTAAGTGTTCAATGCATTACAGAGTTTATTTCTCTTGTATACAAAAACATTCCTTTATAGCTACAGAAAAACTGATACTTGAAAAAGTAGTGTTTGTATATTGCACCTGGCTGCTATGTTTCAGGGTTTCTGAAGTGTAGTGTACAATTCTTGTAGTTGGCATAAGTTTCTATGATGTTTCTATTTTGCATAGAAACTTCGCATGAGTTTCTATTTTTGTTTTATAGTTTGCGTCCTTATTATAGAACGATTTGTGGGCAAACTTATGAGAAATGATTCTACCCACTTCCTCCAGAGTTRATCCTTTTTATTCACTTAGAAACTGGAAAAGGTGTCTGAAATATTCTGATCCACACTATGATTGTTATGATTGTTATTGTTATGATTTGCATTGAAATAAYTTTCTATTGGTTATTTTTTAAGACTTAATGCAGCAAATCTTATACTTAAAACTACAAAATTGTATTGTAAATAAACACTCTCTTTAAAGTGGAGCAGAGGGAGAGGCAGGGGTCAATATTACTGTTTTAAATCATGYGTCGTGGTTTGGACTGATCCCGAGATGGGTTAGCATTCCTGTGGGGTTGGGTGGCTGGGTTGGTGTTTTCCTCTGAGCACCAGCATGCAGGACAGTAGTTTTCTCACTAGATGGAGCTGTGACACAGTGTCCGTCTTGAGAACTGAGGGTGGGGGATTATGTTTGTTTTGGCTCCAAAGCATTAGATTCTGTTAAAATTGAGAGAACTTTCGTTTTAGAAGCTCTATCCATAAAATTAAAACTGGACTGTGAGCTGATAGTGGTGATAGCAAGGTGTGTGCTGTATTAACCCTAATAAGATGTGTACTTAGAACACTTGACTGCTTAAAACTTTAACTTTTTTTCCTCTGTTTCACAAAATACGAAAACTTTAGGGRCTGTTTGAAAGTTGTTACAGGTAAAGCATAATGTGTACTTTTTAAAGTTAAGTTGAAGAAGAATGGAGAAATGCTCAACTGCTATACAACTTTTTCTTTCTTTCTCTTCTGTTTAGATTGTCCCACATGTGGTCAGCTTGGTGCACTCCTTCAAAAGAGATGGCTTGCCTTCCAGTGCAGCTTTTTTGATGCAGCTGTCTGAGTTGATACACTGTATGATGTATCATTATTCTGGATTTCCAGAGCTCTATGAACCAATTCTGGATGCTATTAAGGTACAATAGGAATGCAAAGCTAGCAGGGATTTTGTTCTTGTTTTGCTTTCTTGAATGTGAAACCTAGAATCCTATGGACCCCATTTCTTGAGAACTTCTACTAGGGGATTTAACCACATCATCTAGTGTCAATTCTATACTTGAAATATGCCAGAAGAACTGGCTTGAATGTGTTTCATGAATCATATTTATTCCATGAGATGATTATAGAAGGTTTTAAGAAAAGTTTGAAATAAGGGCCTTTCTTAAAAATCCAATCTAATTTTTTCTGCTTTGTGTAAGTAGGAATATATATTTTTTTTTTTGCTGGGTTTCTTTTCAAGGCATTTCATTTGAAGCACTAGAAACTCTTCCAAGTTGTGTCTCCGGTTTGATTGTTTGATGCAGCAAAATGAAGCCATGATTATCCAGACATTGAATTCGCTTTTTTTTGTCTTTCAGTTATCTTGCAGATAACACTTTGTTGAGTGTTTGTTTGTTTTTAGCTCATTTCATATCTGAATTCTAGCAAACTTGTGATGTAAATACTCCCAGCAATTCTTTATTCTGTGTCGCTGTTATGATCCAGCTTCTTATGTAAGCTTGGAGCATTAGTAGCAGTGAAAAGAGAAAGATTTGTTAATGTTTGGGCAGAACTCTGAAAGATGTTAAAACAGAGTTACAGTATCTCTCAAATATACAGCAACATGCTGAATTTTTAAGTGTCTCTAAGAGTATGACAGGTGTCAATGCAATGCAAGTAGTGAATTTGGGATCAAATAAGGAGGAGGGATTATGAAATCCCTAAAACATAAGAATTTTCTTTGTGCYGGTTGGAGTTAGTTGAAGAGCAGGAAGAGAATACTGTCTAGAGTATAGTTCATTTGTCTGGCTCAAAAAAAAGAAAAAAAAAATCCCCACAAAGAAGCACTACCTCTTAGTACTGCAGTGGGTATTGCATGCCTTTACAGGTAAAGCATATTGGCCTGTGCAATGTTCTGTTGGGCTTTTTGTTTTCTTTTTAAAGAAATTAATTTTAAATACATAACGCACAAATTTTAAAAATATTCAGGTAATACTGCCTATTTATATAACAGCAATATTGCAGTTATATGTTTTGAGATTTAAAAACAAAACCCTATTCATTTTATYCTATTTTCAGTTTTAGTCTGTTGATTCCTATGTTTTGATTTGACAGAGAAGGGTCTCTCTAGCAGATGAGAGGATGCTTCAGAGTCTAATGTATGAAATTTGAGGGTCATTTTTCTAGTGGCAAAAAGGATTGCATGAATATCTCCGAGTGTGCCTTGAAGGAGAGCTTTGGCTATAACACATTTCACTAGCCTTTGACTGGCCACACRTTTGTGCTCTAGGTATTGGTCAAAGGCAACTCTAACATGTACAGACTAGCAGGAACAATGTGAGCCTGAAACTGGATGCCAGATGGCAGAGCAAGGAAGGATATGAAAGACTGCTGGATGGAAGTACTTGTTATTTGGAGGGGAAAAAAAGAAATGTACAAAACTTACTAAATGTGTTAATGTTTCTCTCATAGGAACTGCCCAAACCCAGTGAAGAGAAGATTAAGTTGATTCTCAGTCAAAGTGCCTGGACTTCTCAATCCAGTTCTTTGCCATCTTGTTTATCTAGACTTTCTGGAAAATCTGAAACTGGGAAGACTGGCCTAATTAATCTAGGAAATACTTGTTATATGAACAGTGTTATTCAGGCACTCTTTATGGCTACAGAGTAAGTCCTTTCTACCGGCTGTTTTCATTGCAAATTAGCTATTGCAGTAATTTGGTGTTCACGGAATGTAAACATGTCCCGGGTCAATTAGTTTCCTCACAAAATTTCAGAGGGTTTCTTGGCAGATAGTTACTGATTGCTTTTTTAGGATCCAGCTCTGTGGAATTGAAATTTTAGCCATAAAAACTGTTAGCCTTTTAACACTGATTTATTTGCAAGTTCAATTTCTTTAGTGTCTAAAGCTTTAGTAGTATGTCTTGGTTCTAGATTCCAGGCAAGTCTGGCCTTCCTCCCTCCGCTCTCTCCCCACTTGCTCCTTTTTAAGGTTAACAGTGATGCTGCTTTTCTGTTAACCTGGAAACTGGATCTTTGTCAGTCTTTAGTCTCTTCTCCTTTAAATGTTTAAAGAAGATGCATGCTTTTGTACTGAGGTGGTGGTTACTGTACTGCAGTTCTGCACTGCTGGGTGAGAGCAGAATCCAGGGTTCGAGGGGAAGGGGGTGTTTACCATTTTGCTTTCCACCACATGGAAGTGATTGTTTTTGGAATGATACTATATTTTTTTAGAAATCTATTGGGAAACTAATGTCCATCTCTCTTCAGTTTCAGAAGGCACGTTTTATCTCTAAATCTAAATGGATGCAATTCACTAATGAGAAAATTACAGCATCTTTTTGCATTTTTGGCACATACCCAGGTATGTCAGTTSACTGCATCTGTTGTTTTTAAATCTAAATCTATACACCAAAACATAGCAGCAATCTTCATAATGTCATGGAGTATTTTTGAATATTTTTAAATGTTGATGTGATAGATTTGGAGGGCAGTGAGACTACTTGCAAGTGATATGGATGAACTTGGAGAATCATTTATTTTGCCAGTGGAAATAATACCTTGGTTTTCTGTTGCTCTTAAAATCTTGTAGGGGTGTTCTTTGRGAAGCTAAAATGAGAAATCCAAACCAGACCTTACTCTAATATGGAAACTGCTGTTATGTAACTTTCTAGGAAAAACTATGACCTTCTGCAGTGATTCCCAATAAATTATTTTGTAGTTCTACAATAAACTTTGTTAAATGAAATGCCAGAATATTTTGCTAAAATGGGAAAGATGAGGCCTGCCTTTTTGATTAATTCCAATAAACATAATGAAAAGGGGATGAGGATGATTCACCTTAAATCAATATTAATGAAATACAGGTGTTTTTCCAAAGTCTGTATATGTGTGGAGGGGGGAGTAGAATTTAACTTGCCAGTGAGAATAGTAACAGCTGCTAGTTTTTATATATGCTTTATGTTCACTGTGCGTTTCATATTTGCTTGCAGGATCCTTTTATCCCAGTACTAAAGTGATTACTGCAAAAGTAATAGCTACTACTTGTCTTTCTCYTTCTATTTTGAAGTGGGAGTTTAAATATTTACATGTACCTTGTGCCATACCGTTCCTTTAGAATGTAGTTAAGAGTTCAGCCGTCCATATAAAGATAACCAATTTTTTAAGTAACACTAATGCAGCGTTGCCTGTTTACAGAGGGAGGCRTATGCTCCTCGAATCTTCTTTGAGGCTTCCAGACCCCCGTGGTTTACTCCGCGATCTCAGCAGGATTGCTCAGAATATCTCCGGTTCCTGCTAGACAGGTACAGTTATGGTCATGTTACTGGAAGTGAGTTCACTGTCTTGCCACATGAGATCAAACTTTTAATTAGGAGTAGTCAGCTAACAATTCCGTTGCATGACTGGGATTCAGGAACTCTAGGCCTGTTTTCTGGCCACTTTATTTTCTGTATGGTCTGTGAATCACTTCTTTTTTCTGTCTGTTTTATCTGCGGTAAAACCTAGATACTTGTCTTCATATAACCCAAAGCATGTTGTAGGGTAATATTCCATTTCAGAAAATTGGAATGTTAGTCACATTAGTTGTAGTCTCATTGTGAAATATATGTGGTTCCTGAGAACAATTCAGTCAGGCATCTGGAATTTCAAGTTGATATAGACACCTATACTTCATATARGTCAGGTAAGTCATGAAGAGACACATATACGTTTTTAAGCAGTTTAATATATAAATGAGTTTAAATAGATAAAATACCAAAAAAATATTAGTCGACCTCTTAATTTCAGCCTGCTCAGCATTTTGTTGAGACATGGTTTAAGCAAGATTGCTGCATGAGATAAACTTCTCCAGAAGCAGACTATCTCAATAGTGAATTAGTGTCTTTCTTATCTAACTGCACTTTTTTTTTTCTCCTTCCCCTCTCTTCCTCTTTGACGTAGTTTAAGTTGCTTCGCTAAAAAATCCTGACATTTTCTTTTCCTTTGAAACAGTCTGGTACAATACAAGTAGCTGCTTGTTCTCTTAAGAAATCTAACGTACAGAACCAGTCAATTGGCGAGCTGGTTATTAAGATAATATATAGGTATATAATATTGTTGATTGGATGTTTTAAATACTGTTGTTCACTGTATTACTATTGTGTCCTGTTGCCAATAATGAAAGCTGCACAGAGTGCCTGTTTGCGTTGCTCATGCTCCCTTTGGGCTAGGACTGAACTATGCAGTTCACATGACTTACACAAACACTAACAGCCCTCCCTTTCTATGCAAGAGACACTTAGCTAATTAAAAATAGCAGAACTTCAGTACAACAAATAAAAAATAAGAAGTCTTAAGTGGTTCRGCAGTATTTGTTGCAAAATAGTTATAGCTATTTTAGTTTCTTTCCTTTTGTCTTCAGGTTGCATGAGGAAGAGAGAACCTTGAGAGCACTGTCGTCAGCAAAGGCTGCTGAAAGCCTAGTGAGTGAGGAGGCCCAGGCACAAGAAACTGTCCATAAAGCCCATCTGTTTGCTGAAGCACCTTGTGCTGGAACTGAAGAGAGAACGTTGATAGAGAGAATGTTTGGAGGAAAACTCAAGACTAGTATATGCTGTTTAAACTGCAAAAGCACTTCTCAAAAGGAAGAAGCTTTCACAGATCTCTCGCTAGCTTTCTGTCCTCCGGCTTCCGTGGAGAATGTTGGCCCCAAGTGCATGGAACATTCTGAAGTGAAGGATGATTACGTGGTGCAAAGTAGTATCTTAGCATCCAGTGGTGCTGAAGAAGCAACTCTCACTAATTTGGAAGTAAATGGTGGATGTGATGCAGTTATGAATGAAGGAACCATAAAAAACTTTTCTACTGAGCCAAACTCTGGGAATACTACAAATTCTGAACTTAGTGGCATTCAGGATAATAAGGATATATCTCAGAGGCTAGTAGGTAAAAATACTCCATCAGTTACAGACTTGCTGAATTATTTCCTGGCACCTGAGATCCTCAGCGGCGAAAACAAGTATTATTGTGAGAAGTGTGCCTCTCTACAGAACGCTGAGAAAACTATGCAAATCATTGAGGAACCTGAATACCTCATTCTCACTCTTTTGAGATTTTCATATGATCCAAAGTGCCATATAAGGCGCAAAATCTTGGACAATGTGTCCCTGCCGCTTGTCTTGGAACTGCCAGTCAAAAGGGCAACATCCCTAGCTGTAGTTTCAGGAGGTTGGTCTGTTGATGTTGAGATTTCTGATTTTGGAGAAAATCTTGCTAAAAAACTGAAGCCCTCAGGTGCTGATGAAGTGACCTGCCCACAGCTTGTGCCCTACATGCTAAGCTCTGTGGTAGTGCACTCTGGTGTCTCCTCTGAAAGTGGACATTACTACTCTTATGCTAGAAATGTGACTGGTTCAGGGCCCTCAGGACTGTGCCACCAGTCCAAAGCTCTGTCTCTAGTTTCTCCCCAGAATACCGTGATAGCAGAGGAGAGTCCTTGTACTGTTGTAGAAAATGAGCTAGACACTGAGATGCCAAAAGAATGGTTTCTGTTCAATGACAGCAGAGTGACATTTACCTCATTTCAGTCGGTCCAGAAAATTACGAGTAGATTTCCAAAGGATACAGCTTATGTTCTGTTTTACAAAAAGCAGAATAACACCTGTGGATTCAGCACCAATTCAGCAAATGGACTCTGGGTAAATGGAGACCCTCCCCTACAAAAAGATCTCATGGATGCAATTACAAAAGATAACAAACTGTACTTGCAGGTAAGATGGAAATAGTATGTGAAGAATATCCTGAGACAATATAAAACAAAAAAAAATGTACTTTTTAATTGCTCTTGTATATTAGTCTCCCAAATGATGAATTCTGCTTCCCTCTTGATGTTGCTAGGCCGGTTTCATAGGTTAACCACAGTTAGATGGAAAGCATAAGACAAATATAGTTGAAACTTTGTTCTGTTGTAAAAAAATCTTTTTTTTTTTTTTTTTCTCCAAGTAGAGATGCTCAGATTGGTCCTTGGACCACTGAAGAGCCTCTCTTAACATAGAATTATGATCTGCTCATGTTGTCTTTCATTGCATTCTTAAATTACACAAAAGTACCTTGAGTATATTAAATACTTAACAGCGTTTTTGGCAGCCTGTTTTAGCTTGTCACAATTTATTGTAAAACTATGTTAGAATCACTGAAATGTATGACCAGGTGCTAGAGTCAACTCTTCCTTCCCTGCCCATGCTGTTTTCCCCCTTGGACCAGTGCTGCCAGCCTTGGTGCTTGGTGAAAATACTGCTGTTTGCCGAGCTATAGTCACATCTTGCATTGTTGATGCTAAGGGTATTGCTCTCCTCCTTAAAATATGGTTTGTTTTGAGCCTTGCTGCTCTGTTTGGACTGTGTAACGGTGAAGCTGTGTCTTGCTGATGGGCTAGCTGGTCCTGCAAGAGTTTCATGGAACTTGGGCATACTCAAATTGGAAAAGGTAGAGTTAAGTCCAAATTCAAAGAATAGCAAGTCCAAATTCAAAGAATAGCAAGTCCAAATTCAAAGAATAGCAATTCTCACTCTGAAAATCCTTTATAATAGCTGCAGATATTTTACAGAGAGTTGTTTAAATTGCAATGTGCTTTCTGCTGTTTTCACATTTTGTGGTTAAAGGATTTATGTACTTACCATTTTTTAAAATTATATATCAGCTCTCTCCTCTCTGTCTATGTACAGGATAATATAAAACATGGAGTCTTTAATGGCAATCTCAAGTAACTAATGTTTTCCAGTCAGAATTGCTGTGGCTTCCATCAACATATGAAAAAATTACTTGTCACGTTACAAACTTAAAGCCAACTGTGTGTTACTAATTTCAAATACTTAGGCAGCTGAATCATTAGAGAAAACTAATTTTAAGTTTGTTCAATGGAGAAAAGTGGTACCACAACTTCTGTGATACTGTCAACTTTTGTATATGTAGAGCCAGATATTGAACAGGAGCAGTGTCATCCATTCATGATACAAAGCTGAGTAGCTACTCCTCTTTGTCTATTTTTTAGTTAGTAGTTCCCTTGAAAGCCTTTTTCTTAAACAAAAACAAAAACAAACAAACAAACAAAAAAACAACAACAACAAAAAAAAACCAAGCAAACTTAGCTTCCGTAAAGAGGAAAAAACTATTCTGCAAACAGGTTATTTTCACCTACCATGGTTTATGTTTTTTTTTTTTTTAATTCTTGAATATTGGTCTTTTCTTCATTGTTCTACTGCTGAGATTCAGTCCTGATCTTAAATGAGACTATTTAGAAATGTTCAATTATCCCTTCTACCATTAATCAGTCTGATTCAGTGAATTGGGTTTCCATACTTTGAAAGTTCATGTATTTGCCTAAATTAGTATTTTCTCACTTTAGATGAAATCTTTCTGTCCTGAAAAAGCCTTTACTTTTAAAAAGCAGAATTTTAAACAAAATCTAGTTAATTGCTTTTTCTCGCTACAATTTTAGGACTTTTATTTAATATAGAGTTACCTGCAGGTTTATTCCTGATATTTATGTTATTTTGTAATATAACTTTTTAGGGTAAAAACACAACTGTTGAAGGTGAAAGGGCCCAAGGTTGCCAGTTTCCTAAAGACACAAAGTTTGTGCTGGGTTTCTACTGGGTCTGTCCATCTTGCTCTGTCTTCCTTCCTTTAACTTCTGAACCTGTTGGCTAATTTGAGACGGATATTAAAGCCAAGAAATCGCCATAAGGTTTGTAAATACTTAGCCRGAGAAGGAAAATGGTGTGTCTCATCCCCCAAGAGGGAAATGGCAGCGCGTTTCTCCCTGCTCGATGTGAGAAGCTGCAGAGGAGCTCACTGCAAGAGGGAAGTTGGCACGAGGAGGCTCTGCTCCTTCCTTGTTTCTGCTACTTGCAGGTACTTTTAACAGAACTGATCTTTTTTTAATGGAATATTTGAGACTTCCTGGTGTTGCAAGGCAGTGAGAACAGCAGTTAGTGAGTAGCCAGTAACCTGTTTGTAGCCCCGGGATGCTTTCTCAGTTGTCTGTGCGCTTTCGTTGCAGGAGCAAGAGCTGAGCGCCCGCACGCAGGCACTTCAGGCCGCCTCGGCCTCCTGCTCCTTCCGACCCAACGGCTTCGACGACAACGACCCCCCGGGAAGCTGCGGCCCCACGGGCGGTGGCGGCGGTGGCGGCTTCAGCACCGTTGGCAGATTGGTCTTTTGACGCCCAAGACACCCTGGGATACACTGGTTCCCGAGCGGCTGGCGGCTGCGGAGGACGATTAAAACATTGAACTTTGTCGACTCTTGTACCATGCTTTGAGACGTGGTCCTTGTTCTCTAAGAAATGTGGGGCTTTGGGGATCTTTTGTTTTATTTGAAATAAATAAGCGCATCATGGAAAGAAAAAAAAAAAACTACCTCTTAAAAATTCAGCTGTTTTTACAGTGAGAGATGCTTGCCCAAAAGAGAGAAATGAAGATTTTTAAGTAGTTTCTAATGATACTGCATTAAGCTAAACAAATGCACTTACCATCAGTTTGTATCATCCTTATCCACTGAATGAYGAAAGCTCCTTTTCTGCTCTGACAGTGTTGTTTTATGTGGAGATCCTTTCAGGTAGGCTGAAATGGCATATACAGTCAGTCTCCATTTAAAAATCTGGGACCTTTAAGGATTTCCAGAGATGATGCAATCTTATAATGAAGGCAATAACTTCAAATGTGACATGAAACTACTTTCCATAAGAAAAAAGAAAAATAAAATTCAATATATTTCCAGTATAAATATAAAGAAAAAAAATAGTTTGTAAATGTATGCTTTTCCAAGAAAAAAAAAGGCATGTTCTGTAGGAGCAGTGTTTCTAAATATAAATTGTTAACTTTGTAGCATTTTAATTGTTTTGAGGATTTTAAAATGATTTCAGGGAGTACATCTGCTGTGTATTGGAAGGAAGAGATTCTGTATGTGCCTTGCAGTACTGTAATATAAACTTTTCTGAGGCTGCAGAGAGGGGGGAAATTGTTAGTAATGAGTTTTTTGTGTTGTCAGTATTAGAAATGAATATGTTTTTGGAAAGCTAGTCTATTGCCAGAAGTCCCAATCTGGCAGTTATAAATACAGTAAGCTTGTCCATTATTTTTGATTCAAATAAATATATCCAGTGAGCTACAATCTTCCTGGCTTCCACTGCTGAGGAAAAGCTGGTCCCAGGTCCTGAGCCGGCGTTGTGGGAAGGCTGAGCGGCTCCCTGTGTTTGCTCCAGCCRAGCTGCTCTGCTCCCTGAGAGTCCTTGGAAGCTGCTGGTTCCCAGTGCTGCTTGGAGCAGGCAAGCTCAGCAGTGCCGCTCATGAGCCCTTGTGCTCGGAGAGAGAAGCTTCTGGCTGGCAAGTTGAGCTTTTCAGTGTCTCGGGAAGATCAAAGTCACCTCGTCTATGGAGCAATGTTTSCTTGTTCATTAGGCCAACAGAGGTTTTAATCTTGGCAGAAATAGAAACTTGATGTTTTGGATGTGCAATGATGAAAACAGAGGTGAAGGAGTTATGCTGTTGAATCTGGTGATTAATTTTTAACTTGAATAATCTTCTAATGAAGTGTATTTAAAGTATTCTTACAAAGTCCTCTGCTGTTTTGCTGTGGTTTTTACTTTAAATCTGCTAAGTGGCAAAGTGCATCCTTACAAAGCATGCAGATCTTGCAGGTGATAGCCTCACTGTGCAAAATAAAGAGATTTCCCAGGAAAATCATTTAAAATCAAAATCAAGTTGAGAAAATGTGGCCTTGTTTGTATAGTATCAAATACATGACTGGTAGTCTGCAAAGTAACATGGCTCTAGAACTGTTTTTATATTAGTGCTGCAACTATGTGGGTTGGTTTTGCTGTGTGTTCAGACCTTACTGCTCAAGGAAGTTAGACCAGCTTGTTTTTTGTTAAATTAGTTTTCATTCTTTTCAGTTGCTTCCCAAGTTTGTTCTACCAGTTCACAGTACCTTGGCCTTGACCTGTGCTTCCATTGCCTTTTCAGTTCTAGGTGTCCAGATYGGATGCTCAGCTGTGGAAATGGGGAGTGCTGTGGCACTAGTGGGAAGAACAGCCTCATTTTGTTTGCTTGGGTGAGGTCTCGTTGTAAGTCCACTTTGCCTTGCGATTCTGTAACTTTCAGAAAATGACTTTTTTATTTGCTCTTGGGTTTCTCAGCTAGCTAGTGCTGTTTTTTACAATGTCTTTATGGCAAGTTTTACTTGCCTCTTTCCTCAGGCTGTGGGAAGGACCCACTGAAAAGCTGTCTATTTTTTTGCATTATAATGGGAGTTTTTGTGTCTCACTTTACTGTGTTTAAAAAAAAAAAAAAAAAAGAGAACACTAAATAGAGGCAAGAGGAACTGTTTTTACTCTGTATGAAATCACTATTTTTTTGAGGTCAGTTTTGTTTTCCTGTTTTCACAGTAAAAATGCAAACTGTGTAGCCTACCTAAAAATAATTGGTGGCATGAGCTGGTATATCTCTTGCATTATATCTATTTTGTGAGGTTTCGAAAGCTTTTAGAAAGCTTTCTTCACCCTTGTTTGCGTGTCCTAAATTAGGTGTTAAATATGAAAATTTTATATCAGAGTMATGCCAACAGGGTTGGATCTACTTAAGTGTATAATTAAGGTATGTCTCAGCTTCAAAATACCTTGGTTTTTTTTCCTCTGTGTGACTTCTATTGACCCAGTTATTTTGGGGTCTTAGAAATAATTTGTGAAAGTCCAAATAAATATTTGCAAGCCTGCCAGAYGCCATAAGCCACCCTGGAGAGATGGGTGCTTGAGGTGGGGGTGTGTGCTGAGGCCAGGGGAGGCAGCGGCGCCGGGCGCAGGGCCCGTCAGCGAGCGAGGGCGGGCGCCGCGCGCGGCACCTTGCGCGCTCCAGCCTCATCCAGCTGCAACTGGTGGAACGATACAACGTGCACAGTGCTCTGTCTGAAAGTGGTTTTTGTTTTTTCCATGCAATTGATTTTTTTTTTTTTTAATCTGAAGTGTTGAAAACTGTTACGACTGCCACCTGCTTAACAAGGATAACTGCGGTTACAAGCCCAGCTTTGGGCATAGCGAGAGAAAGGGCTTATTTGGGTAATGAAAATAACCTCCAATGTAATTGCAGCTTCTGGCTAGCTCTTATTTCTTCTTTTTTCTTCCCTACCATGTAAAGTTCATGTTTATCTTCTGTATTCTCTGAAAGTTTAATTTTATGAGTAAGCTTTTTTCACTCCCTAGGAGTGAGATTATTTATAGAACAGGAATGCTGGCTTTGTTCACARATGATAGGTGGTGAAGAGCAGACGCATAGCATGAGTTAAGAGTAGCATTAACACAGAAGTATCAGATTTATATCAGAAATTAAGTTCCTAGTTACTAGAGTTGTCTAACCTTGCGTCAGCCTTCCAGGCAGAGAGCTGCTTTGAAGGGAGAGCCAAGCGCACCTGCAAAAGGAATTAAATAGAAAGTGGTGTCTRGATGGGCACCAGCTAGATAAACCAGAGGTCCCTTCCTGTCCACTCCTAGACTTTTGCTCCGTTGTTGGACTTCCTGTCCTGACGCATAAGCAGTTTTGTTTTTAAGGCTGCGAGATTTGTATTCCCTTCACTTTCCTGAAACCCAGCCTGGTGATGACAGCAGCTAAGGGGGACTGCTGAAGGGCTGGGAGTGCTTGGCCCCTGCCTTAGTGGAGCGAGGCACAGAGAAGAGGGGGCTGTGGGYATTGGGCAGAGCTGTGGTCAAAAACAGTGTCGTGTTCCTAACACAGGGCTTACCCTGCTCAGGGCTGGAAGGGACTGCAGCAGCTGATGGCCTGTGTAGGCTGCAGTCACACCTGAATTACTGCGCTTTTCTCTGGGTCAAACAAACGATCTGTCATAAATGAAACCAGAGAAAAGTATTTAGAAAGCTTTCATGTTCTTTACAACCAACCATCGTAGGTTCACCTAAGCCCAAATTCATAGCTAGAGCAATAGAAACTTAAATCACACAAGTGTCAGTTCAAGGACCTAAAAATGCGTAAGCTGTTCATGGAATTTATACAACACCGAGTTCTGTGTGAATAGCAGCAAGTACCCCAGTTCCTACAGGCAGTTTTTAGAGACTTGATCCCCAAGCTGGAGCTCCAGCTGTGATCAGAATGCCATCTGTAACATGCAGTGTAGGTCTGACTTATTGCGTATGGCTTTTATTTATTATTTTTTAATGCACGCACAGAGACAYCTCTGTTCACTGTGAGTCTTGCTTTTACCTGAATGGAAGGATCAAAGCAAAAACCAACTAAGTTCCAAGTTGCACAGGGGCTGGCGCAGGTCCTGCCTGTTGCAGTTGGTGCCACCCGCACGGGGCTCGGTCGCTGCTCCGTGCCCGGCCAGCTACCACCCTGCAGAAGGCCAAGGGCGCCCCCGGGGAGGCTGAGCAGGCGTGCGTGTTTCCGATGATGATTTCACGTGTATCCACCCCAGAACGGTAGCTTCAGCGTGGCTGCTCTCGCCGCATTTTTACACCGGTGCTTCGCTTTCTAATGCCCGTCCTTTGGACRCTCCAGTTGTACATGGGCTGGTGTAGGAACCATTGCCTCAATGGGCATACTGGAAACAGGCTGCTGAGGAGAGTACTCCGGATTTAGGTTAAAAAATGACTTCAGCCAACGGGGTCCATGCCTGGGTTAGCAGCTGTAGTATCACAGTATACAGGTAAGCTCTTTTCATTTGGTATGAAAAGCCTGTTGACTGATCTGTTCATAGTGGTTGTTTTTTTTTTTTTTCTATTTAGTGAACACAGACTATTGCGTTTAAGAGACTGGAATGCTTGACCGCGCTTTTGATCTGTTTTTGTTCTGGAGTCTTAAAAACTTCACGACAGAAGTGCTGTTAACTCTGCTGCGCCSTGTTTTCCTCCTCCGTGCATTAAATGACGTACAAAGAGCTGTGGCCTGCAGCGCTCCAGAGCGGGGCTGGCGTTGAGGGCAGCCCTGCGCTGGTGCTCGGCCTCAAGGGCTGGTGCCACTCGCCAGCTCAAGTGTTTTCTGAAGAATTAAAACCTTTGATGCTTGACTCCTTAAAACGGTGTTACTAAACTTTCTTGACATGTTTTTCATGAGGTTTCTTCTTTGGAATTGCAGACTATAAATCTTGAATTCAATATGCCTATTCTTAAAATTCTGTTATGAATTGGCATGAATATTAAATAGCAGCTTTAAAAAGGGGATGAGGCAAATGAATAGTTCACTATAATTATGCTGGGCTGCACAAAGAACAAAAACTATTTCTTAATGCCTCAAAATATTCGGAAGTTACTAAATCTTTATATTCTTCACTTGAGTCAAAAGAGAGATGTTTTATCAAAATATTGTGGTAGCATCTTGTCTAGAGCTAGAGGAGATATTGGAAGTTGGATTATCTGTATAGCTTGGTTTTAAAGAGCATGCATGAAAATATGGCAAATAAGTAGAAGTGACATCTATTGAGCCAAATAGGTYTGGAGAATCAAGTGCTGGCAGTAGCTGAATTTCATTTTAGTCATTATAATATGACTATTTTGAGTTAACTTCTCAATTCCTATTAGCAATAATTACTCCTCCT